AATTTGATGATTAGTATTACATGTATTTCATTTGTTTGAAATGATTCAAAAACTTCCTTGTATCTGGAAGTTTTTTTCCAGAATTTTTCTGAAATAAATATCATGTACGATATCATGGAAATAATCATTTCGTTCAAATATGGGCCTGATTCACTCATAAATAATTAAATGCGCTTTAAAAAGTAACAAAGAATTTAATTATACCTCATATAAAAAACACAAGTAAAGAGGAATCTAATTGGCTGAGGTAGTCACGTGACCATCGTGTTCGCCCTGCAACAAAACTTCGTGTTTCCCGCATTCGGTTCACATCGCCAAACTACGCTATCCTACATTTACATGTAATCAGCCAAGGTGTGCAGAACCTGTTTCACGTCGTGTTTCCCGATTATGACGTCAAAATGCGGCGAATGCGATGATTACTACTAAATTCGATTGTTTAAATCTTTGATTAATTATGTCGATTCAAAATCTTACAATATATAAATAGTTAAAAAAGAGTTTCCATGAGTGGGGAATGAATGTTACTACACTGCAGTGTGTAAATCAGAATGACTTGTCACGATGTTTTTTTTTATGAAACGCTAGTGGTGTAGCTTACACGTATTGTTATTTCATATTGTTCTCATCAAATGTTTACTTTATTTTTTTGGTTCAATTTATATTTTCTGCATTGTGCTTGATTCGGTATAGTAAAATAATTATTGCATGAATGTTCGGGAGACATGAAGATTTCTTCACCCATGAAAAATCATAATATGATTTTTTTGGGTGAAGAAATCTTTATGTCTCCCTCACTATCATGCAATAATTGTATAATGTACAACAAATATGCTGTTTGCAAAGTTTGTTTTAAAGTCTTTTCTTTTCAGTAAAAGAGACTTTGAATCAGCTTGCCCTTTTCCTTTGGCATATTTTTACTAGGAGTTATTCCACTTTTCTGTCATCTTGCAATTGTAGGGCAAAGTAGTGAATTTACCATTTTTCATACTTAGTCTACTTCTTGTAATAAGAAATAAAAGCCGTTTGTATGCACATAGTCCATCACTGATGTCAGAAAAAAGTCAACATTTTCTCGAGAATTTGCAGTATGTCGATTTTTAAACATGTGTTTCTATAAACTGAAATGGAAACCGTTAATTTCATATGCGTCTATTTTAGACATTTGTACTATTTATAGATATGAGAGCCTGACGTCCTCAATAATTAGTGAATTATTAAACTATTCCTTGTTCTTATTGATGAAATATTTGGGAGGTCCCAAAATTGAATTGAATTGATTGAAAATTGACATTTTTCAGCATTTTATGAGATATATATATTTAGGCATTTGAAGCTATAAATAGAAAACGGAAATCCCTAAAAATAATAATCTGCATGATGGTTATTGGTGTCCAGTCTCTGGCTTTAGCATTTTGACTTTTATAGTGTATTTCATATTTACCTAGCAATGGCATCTTCAACTCTGCCCAAATTTCATTTTTTGGATTTTTCTGAAATATGTTTATATTTAGAAACATGTAACTAAGAATTGCATTGAGATCCCACTCCAATTTTTTTCATGAGGGGACACTACGCATTAGGGATGTGCGATTTTATCGGTATACCGGTATATCGCGATTTTTCGTTGCGTGATACGTATCGTGATACGGAGACCTAAATACCGGTCTTTAGGTACTTATTATAAAGTCCAGAAATTATTCATTTATTCGTTTAACCTTTTAAATTACAATTACAGAAAGTATAAATAATGTTGTAAAAAGTGAAGAGAAGGCATCTTACCGTCCAAACATAATTGATTTTATATACATAAAAATTTCAAGATAGTAAAATTTTGTTTTTAGAAAAATAATGACTTTTCATATAAAATCATGGTAAAAACTGCTTTTAAAAATATCATGATATTATCGCGATATTGTGGGAAAAAATCGTGATATATCGCGATACGAAATTTTTGGCGATATCCATCCCTACTACGAATACTGACGTTTGACGACACGTATATGATCTGAAAAATTTCCGCAGACAATTTTTTTTATTTAACCTTAAATTTCTCAAAATATGCCAAAATTTCCACTTTTTCACATTTTCAGAAACTATGCCATTTTGCAGGACCATTTTCTAAGAATGGGGTTTATTCTGGAATAACTGATTATATGTCCTGTATTCCTTAAAGGTTGATGTTTTCTAATAATACAAAGAAAAAATACATTTATATTTCCCTAATTTTCATGTTTTTGTTTGGTCAAAAAAGGCCGAAATGGCCAAATTCAATGGATCCGTCTCTATGGCAACCGGTTGCACTTTGAAAACTTCTAACACCATATTTGCTGGTTTTGTACCAAGGTGCACCTGTAGTGCAAATTTCATCAATATCGGAGGTATGTCGTTTCTAAGCCCTATAGTAAATTTTTTGGTGCTTACAGAGAATGCATGTAAAGTTGTAAAGGTTTCATTAAACTTTGTTGAAAAAAGACTCTTGGGAATAGAGAGAAACCAAAATAGGCTATCAAATTTTTGAATACGAATAAATTTTACTAGAAATCTCTCGTTTAAAAAACATCATTCTCAAAAAAAAAGTTTCAGCAATAAGTTGTCATAATGATAAAAAAGGAGTATAGATTCAAAATATCAATTCGTTTTAATTATAATTTAATTTAATAATTTTAATTAGACATAAACAACATTGGTAAAGCAGGATCAATGCATCTCATATTTAATTTTTTCTTTTTTTCCTTTTACAGACCATCCATCTGTTGTAGAGGGTACCTTTGGCAAAAAAAAGTACTTGTACGGGTACGCGTATGATTCTTTTATGTAAATAATAAGGATTGCCTTTTTATACTTATTGTAATAACGATGAATATATATGCAAATTGTCAAATTTGAAGAAAAAAACATCATACATTATATTGTATTTACATTTGTTTAGCCATTTATCACCCTCTTTTTTCTACCTACATGCAGTAGCTGATTTCTATTGTTGAAAGTTTTTACGAAATTTGAATTCTAGCTTTAAGGTTCGGTTCACTGCTTTAAATAATTATCGAGTGCATAATTGTATAACAAAGTGAACCATAAATTGATAACTTCATGTAGATACAAAGTAATCAAGACACCCCTTTCGGTGTTTGCTTCTATTCATTATATTATAATTGCTTGTACTGTGCAAGACAGCTGTTCTAAGGATATTTTGAAAAACATTGAATGTCTTAAAATATTCATAAGCACACTACAATATACATCTACAGATTGTCCGTATCCCACGTATGGACCATATTGCAGTCTTAGGAGTACTTGCAGCTCAAAGTCCTGTGATCAGTTTACAGGTTGTTCTTCAAGTGCTTCAGCAACTAATCAAATTACGCTGATTAATAAATTATGTCTCCATGATCCACATCATCCATGAGACACAAGTTTATTTTTTTTAAAGTCTAACGGAAACATTTTTTTCGCTTCTTAAACAATATGGTTTGTACTTGACAGACACTGGATTATAATGCATAAGTATTCCTTTCTTTGACAGAATCAGAAAAGGAGGACTAAATGTTATCTTTTTTTAAAAAAAGGTGCATGTACATGTAATCAGGAAAAATATGTAATGTTTAATACCACATACACTGTACACGTAGTTGATGCAAAAAACATTAAGTTAATGTATTTGTATTTTCTCTGCATATGTTTATCTATTGAGTCAGTAAAAGCTACTACCTGCTTACCATTATCCTTCGAAGGGTTATTACTAAAATATACAAAACATTGGTGCTGTCTTTCGCTATATAACGTTTATCGTTATGTCAAAGACGAATTATCCTGAAATTAATTTGTCCTTACGATGTGTGTGGACTTTAAATAGTAAAAGACAAAAAAAATCTCCTACAGTTGCATGACTAATTGGTTGATTGTATTATGTTTAACATCCCTCTCGAAAATTCTTCATTCAATGGAGACGCCAACACTTGAACAACAAATTTTGTCCAATGATCGGCACAAAGGTCATTGAGCAGGTCGGATCTTATTTGTGCCAGCACCTTTTGCGACCTTGAGACTTCGGTTAATTCGGTCTCATCCGAAGAACTAGTCTCCAAGTTCAACAATTGGATTCGAACCTGCAAAGTAAGGATCAACACCTTCCTTCGCAATTATACAGCAGACGCACCCCCTATAAAAATATTTTCCTCATCGTGCAGGAAGAAACAACCAAACACAGATATGCAGTTTCCTCGTTTATCTCATTTAAATGAATAATCTAAAACAAAATGAAAAACAAACCATTAAGGGGGTAAAAAAAATTAAACAATACAGGATAAAAACATGTACATAGGTGAAAGCTACAATAATTGTGATCCCCCTGAATTTGTCTAGAAAATTACATGCAGTGAAAATATCAGAGCACATATACATATGCATAACGTTAAACATAAATGATTTGATTGATTGTATACTGTTTAACGTCCCTCTCCAGAACATTTAACTGATAATGTGACGTCACCATTGCTGGTTAAGGGCTGCAAATTTAGGCCTATGCTCGGCACTTACGGCCTTTGAGCAGGGAGGGATCTTTATCGTGCCAAACCTGCTGTGACACGGGGCCTTGGTTTATACGGTCTCATCCGAAGGACCGCTCCATTTAGTCGACTTTAACGACAAGCAAGGGGGTACTGAGGACCTATTGAAACCCTGATCCCCACGGGGCAAATGTGTTTATCTTTAGAAGGTCCAAAAACGTACGCTAATCCAAGAAAGGAATGAATTTTTTTCAGAAATATACACTTTTGACTAGAATACAAAATACAAATCCAATATGCTCAATTATTTGGGACCACTTAATAAGAAAAACAGGATGAAACATGTACATACGGATTAAAAGTACAATGTGACACTCCCCCCCCCCCCCCCGAGACTGACTAGAACATTACATACTGACTAGAACATTATATATTGACTAGAACATTAAATGTAGTAGAAATATCCAAGTACATATAAATATATGTACAAGGTCATTGGACTGAACAGGAAAAATTGCGAAATGTTAACTGCAAGCGAGGCCGATGATATTTTGTTTGATTCACTCATTCGTCAATAAACAGTCAATAATCTGTAAATTTTTTTAGCTAAAATGATCAAGCACACCTCTACTCCTATTACAGATGAAAGGGTTAATACTATATAATTATATTGTAAATATATGAAATAGAAAAAATATCATTTTTACGTCCGAGGGCCAAAGTTCAACAGGGTTTTACTATGTGCAGTATATTGCAGTATATATAAGTATTCAAATAAAACAGTATATTGTGTTAGAAGTTACTTTCTTGACAACATTCCAAAATATATGAGAATCTTTATCTAATAACCCTGTTTTACACGGAAAACCATTTAGCTTTCAATTAAACATGAATGGTATAGAACATCAAAATGCACATCCCATACATAAATGTTTGGTCGGCAATTCGCTGAGACCTCGGGCGACTTCCAGATGTAGTGTTTCCATAATTTTGATGTAGACTTGAAATAAAAAGATAATAATTTAAAAAACACTATCTTATTATGAAAGCAAATTGAATTTACTTTACGTGGTTACTTGGCATTTCACAAATATTGAAAGGACATCCTGCAATATTTATTCGGGGTTATGATTATGCATATGTATATATAGGTATATCAACATCACAAGCTGAACCTATAGATTGTTTTCTGTAAACAAAATTAGAATATGTAACAATTAATGTTGATTAGAAAATGTGTGTTACCCTTAGACAGGTAATTGACTGTATGATGACAGGTTAAAGTTAAATTTAATCTTCTTGGTCATTCATTTGACTCAGAAAAGAAACAAAAAGTGAAAGAAATTAAAAAAAAGAATGATTCTTGTTTGACACTAAATAATATTTCTTGCTTGATATGAATCGCTGGATTCTTAAAAAGTGATAATTATATTTCATACTATACCTGTATGCGCCTGTCTTTTTATAGCATTCAGTATCTACAACATATGCGTATTATGCAAATAAGAGGTTTGATGGAGAACAAGGAAAATATTAGAAACAATGGGTATGCCGTTCTTAAACAGCAGATTTAGTCTCGATTAATTCATTAAACTTTATTACGTATTGAAGCCAAAAAAATCCTTTGAAAGAAAATTTGAGATTTTTTGTTACATGCACTATGAGAAAACTTGACAGTCTGGTGTCCTCAAAATCTAGCCCTTAATTTTAAACAAACTAGAGCCAATAATACCTGAGAATGTTTCAACATTCATGATTATTCATGACCTTGCTGTTCTGAAAAAAAATATTGTCCTTATTCTTCAACTATTGAGCCTCCAACCCACATTCAGGATGTCATGATTGGGTAAAATTGAATCTAAAATACAAGTACCTATTGGTACTTACAACAAGATATAACTAATCACGGCTCTGTTATTCATGTAAAGAAGAATATCCAAACCGTCAGCTTCTTACATTTGAAACTCCCACTTCCAGTCTGCTAGTTAAAATCATGAACAAGGCATGTTGAACAAAAAACTCTTACAACCCAAAGCTACAACGTACATAACAACAAATACTACTAAATATTTACAGTATTTTTCATTGTGTGACAGTGTAGCTGTCCAATCGTCTATCCCTTTTTTTTACAACCAGGTAGCTCGATCCACAGCTATGTTTAACTTTGATCTCTTATTATTGCCCTAAACTAACCCTAACCCCGCCCTAACGTTAACCAAAACCTGATGGTCATGTTTTTAGAAAAATTGAACCGGTGCTTCCCGTAAGTGCTTTCACACGAATATGTCATATTCTGACTTTGCTGTTCTTGACAAGAGGATTTTTAGAATTATCTTAAATATTTCTAACTAAGACTTCTTTTGGTCCTCATCCAATCCAAGGGATTATGATTTGAGGGTTTTTTTAATTTGCTCTGGCAGCGATTTCAATTTGTCAAATGTAATTTCAATATTCGGAAAAATTTACTGAAGTTTGTTTAATCGGGAGATAGATTCTGACTATAGAAAAATCTTGAACTGATGAAGGTGCCCGTTTCAAGTGCTAGTGGTACAGAGCAAAGGGATCTTTCTCTGTACTTCGTCGTCTTACATATTGCAAATGAATAATTATATATTGAGAAAAATATAAACCTAAATCAATTTGCTCTGAACATTGACAACACCTCCATTTCATGTAGTCTAAGAAACGTAAACTGTTTTCTATGTTGTTTCTTTAAATTTTTATATATAGAATACAGTAAAAGTAAGTATATCATAAGTTGTTTATCCATGTTATGTGATTTATTCCTTGATTTTAGAAGAATGGAAAAGTAAAAAGGTGCGGTTTTCATCAATATAATGACAAAAATCATGCACTGTTTCCCGTTACTGTTAGTTGGTGCTTTAACGTAAATACTTCCTAATCCTTTCTCATGTTTGTCATTAATCATACTTACAGATATAAGCACTGGTTGACGGGTAGTCAGTTTTACAAAGCTTACAAGTTGCTACATAAAACTCCTGTATTTTGCGACCCAAAGTATTATATTCTGCACAAAAACCTAAAAATACAATTTAGAAAAAAAATGATTTCAAAAGCAAGATTTCATTGTGATTTTTTAAAAAAAAGCGTATTTTCCCATTATATTTGAAGATGGATGAGGTCCTTTTAGCTATCAAAAAGTAAACAATCTACATTTTTCATCTCGATCCCCACCTCATCAAACTTAACAAAACTTAACAAATCCTGAATTTTGTTTTCCAGCACTCTGATAAACATCTCCAACTATAAAATTATGAATTCAATAGAATCTAAAGGGGCCGACTATAGTTTTATTGTGTGAAAACTACAATAGCGAAACTCTTAATTTTTATACCATATATAACTTACATTAAATTCAGTGTACATGCAAATTTTGGGGGAATATCTACCGTCCAGGTATTTTAAGGGACCGTTTCAAAATACAAGTACATTTACTATAGGATTATATAGGAAAATGCCAATTTTTTAGCACTTTAAAGCAAATTATACAAATACTACGATAGACATTTTGTTCGAATTATAATATTTTATGAGTAATACTATATGATACAATATATGTAAGAAACACAAAATTCTACTGTTTCGTTAAGAGAGGGGGCATCTCAAAATGCAAAAAATAGCATAATTTACTATTTTTATAAAGTACTACAAAATATGATGTAAACAATGGATTCACAAGAAAGCAAAATAAAAATATTGGAGATATTCTAAAATTTTTATGTTTAAAATTTCAAGAGCGTATGTTTATTACTTTTTTCTGTAATAATATTTTTATTACCCCTTTCTTTAAGAGCTTCATATTACCATAAGGTCAAAAAGACACTGCGGCGACGTCAACCTACCTATCAGTTGCAAAATCGGTTAAATAATCAGTAATATCAAATTGTAATCACATTTTTATACCTATAATTTTTAGTTTTGTTTTGATTTTAATAATTAAGCGAAAAAAGTTGCGTTAAAACAAGAAATACGCATCATTTTACTATGATGTGCAAAATATTGCGCAATAGAAACTATAGTCGGCCCCCTTAATAAGTTAACCAGGGATAATAGTCAGTACTTAAGAACAGATGGTACAAACAAACAAGAGGCCCATGGGCCACATCGCTCACCCGAGAAGCTTTGACCATGCTGTTCTTTCGTACATTTCCCTATTGTCATACATATTGTGACACCACCCTAACCCCAAGAGCCATGATTTGAATAGTTTGAAATCTTCACAATCCTAGGAAGCTTCCACACAAGTGTCAGCTTTTCTGGCCCCGTGGGCTTTGAGAAGAAGATTTTTAAAGATTGTTTCTTTATATTTCTATGAAAACCTTTGAGACCTCATTGTGCCCACCACCTCCAAAAAAAGAAAAAAAAAACCGGGGTCATGATTTGAACAATTTAGAATCTACACAATCCCATCATGCTTCCACATAGGTTTCAGCTTTTCTTGCCAAGTGGTTCTTGAGAAGAAGATCTTTAAAGATTTTTCCTATATATTTCGATGTAAAACTTTGATTTCCTAATGTTGACCTTCCCTACCCCCCGGGGGTCATGATTTGAACAATTTAGAGTCTACACTACGCCAGGATGCTTCCACATAAGTTTCAGCTTTTCTTGCCTAGTGGTTCTTGAGAAGAAGATTTTAAAAGATTTTTCTTATATATTTCTATGTAATATTTTGATTTCTCATTGTGGTCCAACCCTACCCCCGGGGGTCATGATTTGAGCAATTTAGAATCTACACTACCTCAGGATGCTTCCATATAAGTTTCAGCTTTTCTGGCCCAGTGGTTCTTGAAAAGAAGATTTTTTTAATGACCCCTTTCTATTTTTCTCTTTTCTTGATAATCTCCTCTTTAGAGGGGACTTGGTCCTTTATTTTAACAATTTAAATTTCCCTTTACCAAAGGATGCTTTGAACCAATGTTGAGTTACGTTTTGTCCGCCGTCACGTTATGTCCGCCGTCACGAAATGTCCGCCTCTTTTTCAGAAAAATCGTCACGTTATGTCCGTCGTCACGAAATGTTCGCCTCTTTTTTGGAAAAATCGCCACACTATGTCCGCCGCCAAAAAAAGTCCGCCTTTCTTCCAAACAAATCGTAATGTTATGTCCCCCGCTACAAAATGCCTTCTAAAACAAATCGTAATATTGTCCGCCGACAAGAAAAACCCGCCCTTCTTCCGAAAAAAAATCGGCAGATTATGTCCGCCGCCAAGAAAAGTCCGTCTTTTCTCGGTTAACTCTTCACTGATCTCATAGTGTCCGCCGTTAAGAAATCTCCTTCAATATTTCGGATTGTAAATATTGTGTCTTAATGTCCGCCTTCACGAAAAGTACGCCCTTTCTTTCAGAAAAATGAGACTGTTTAAGTATGTATATACATATAACTTTTTAATCAACTTTATATCAAAATTATTTTAATCTTTTTCAATTATGCAATTTTTTTTGGTCTTAGTCGTAAGTTCTTTTGTAAAACGGGCCCAAGGCCTTACCTACTTGAACAAACCAATACAGAATTGTCCCTTTCTAAATTTTCAAATGATCACGTGTTTACTTCATCCAATGGGGAACGCGTTGCGCGGTTTCACCTGGCCGCAGGTAGGTATCTGTTTTTACTTTGAACTCTGCTGCGTCACGTGACAGGTTAATAATAAAAATGAAGACAATCTGGTAAGAAAAATGAAGACTATCTGGTAAGTATTAAACAAACAATACCAGCATGTATGTTGTAAATAATTAAAACAGATTGATGATGAATTTATATTGATTTTCTATTACCATCCTCTAATTGATTAATAAATAAAGTCGTTCCAGATTTAATTTCAAGCAGAAAGTTCGGAAATCCAGCAATGTTATCTATTTATCGAAAATTCAACAATAGATGAATCAATCAGTACAAGTACTTTAAATGGCTTATATACTGGTCTTTTTTAATAGTTTTTTGATAACATGTGTTTAAACAAATAATTACCAAATGAAGAAAACAATTATTGGGAAGTTGTCAAGCAGAAAAGGTATTTATGTAGTGAAAGCCAAAGGGGGTTGAGTTTTCTTGTTTATTAGTAAACTTATGACAAAAAAAAAAAAGAATTCATGTCTTTTATAAAATGTTAAATTTCATATATATATCACAATAGCAGTAGCAACGCAGCATTGTTAAGGCTTGAATAAGGGGGCAGGGCCTAATTTATACGGGAAAAGTTTACTGTGCCGTCACACAAAAATATGACTTTTATGTAATTCGTATTGTACCTGAAAATAAAATAATTTGCAACTTTTAACTGTATTCGCATAATAAACAACAATAAAACTTATCAATGCATTAAAAAAACTTGCTAGTTAAATCCCATATAGCTGGTTATAGACACTGCACTGATTGCGATGAACTTGTAAACATGACGTCATTTTGGTAAAAATGACGTATTTCATGTGTTGTGAGAGGCAGATTGAGGAATTTTTTAACAATGAAAAATGCGTTTTATTATTAAACGGAATATTATTAACAGGTTTTTAATAGTCGATAAATACCAATGCATATCCTTTGTGTAGTGCGATTATTAATTAATTATCAAGAGAATGTGTTTTATTAATTATGTCGTGTTTTTATATACAGGTTACATATATTTTACATCGAGATGCCTCATAAAATCGCACTTTCGCAAGGGCATACACTTCATAGATCTTAACCATTTTTTGAATATAGGTAAAGGATATTTTTCTGAACTTGAAAAGTGCTGCTGCTTTCTTTAAATCGAGGGCGTGATTTTATAAGTACACAAAATATTTGGTAAAAGTTAAACATATTTCGACATTGGCTTATTTACCTGAAAATTTAACTATTAAAACGCAAAATCTATTCAAAGCAGCAGAACTTTTCTGAAACTACAAAGTATGCAGATACAAATAATAACTTGAATTTTTAATTTCAACTAGGGTATGCCCTTGCGATATTAAAATTTGTTCATGACCTACATTCAGTACACGAACTATGCATTCATCACGTGACTGTCCATCGATGGGAACAAACTTCATACAGTACAGAGTGGGTTATACTATGCTATTTCAATAACTATTTGTGGTCTGTGATAATAAAACAGCTTAATTAAAATAAATTCAGTTTTAAAAAGGTCCCCCTTTTTGCACGTCTATTTTCCGTTGATTTCTATTAGTACGCCTTAACAATGTAGGTCATGAACAAATTTTAACTATTTTCACCCCCAAAACCACAAAAATTTGACCCCACAAAAATATGATTTCAAATCGATTTCGACATTTAAGTCTTTGAAGATTCAAGGTTATAAAGCAAATTTATTTAGAATAAGTGATAAGATTTGCATTCTATACGGTCTCATCTAATGGTGTATATCATCAAACATTTACCTTTCTACATTACTCACAGTTTCAAAAATCAACGTTAAAATGCCTTTCCATGGGAATGCAAATTACGTTACTTTTGCAGAACAGAGTATCAGAAAGTCTTTTCTTTCAACAAATATTCCAATGTATTTCAAATTCTACATATTTTCTTCTCACTAAAATGTATTGCTATGTATCTCTATATCTTTTAATTTATTTCATAAAAGGTTTTAACATTATAAATCAAGAAGCTAAAATAAAAGAATCTACTGTATATAATTATTTAAGTCGTAGAAAAGGAGTTCTTTGTACAAAATAGCAACAAGGGTCAAAATCTTTCAAAAAGTATAGAATGTATATTGTAAACTTTACAATAGTTCTTAATGTTTGCATTTTCGGAAAGAGAAAATAATTTACCTGCCGGGATCTTCGCTCCTGGAGCACAAACTTCCAGATTTTTGTCCCCCCATTCATTTATCACACAGTGATATCGGGGTTGCCTGAAGCAGTTGTGCTGAATGGCTGTGCAGTTTTTTAATCGAGCTCTTTGATTCCACTCGTCTTCACTTCTTGGACAAAACACAACTTCTTGAACAGTTTTTTGAGATTCAACACAACGCTCCTCATCCAAGGCATATATCTAAGGAGAAACAGTATCAGTATCGATAAAAGGTACCGTAAATCTGGAAATTTTTACGTCGATTTATTTTTGCGAATTCGGGTCAAAAAGCTGTTGATTAATTTTAACGCTTCAAATTTTTCCGAATTGTCAATGGTGCTAAAAATAAAAAATCACTGTAGATTTTCATATCAGGTTATGTTTCAAATAATATGCCCAGTTAGAATACCACCAATATACTCGAAACGTGGCAAGAATTTGCAAAATCGCTCTGAAACAAATTTGATAAAAATCCAAAAGGATTTGCACTGAAAATAATTTCTAAATCAATTATAACAAACATTTTAGAGGTTGTGTATGCCTCTTAACCTAAAGTATAATCCAAATGTAGATAAAAATATAACTTATGTCTCAACGTTTGTTTTTTTTTTTTCTCACCTAAAATTTACACGCCGCGTTTACATTTGGAACTTTTTAGTAAATGCAATGAGTTTGAGTTATCGCTCGTGTGATACACGGTTAGATAAAATGACAGTTCTCTCTTTATTGGCAAATTAATTCATGAAAATAATCAATAAAAAGGGGCATACCGCCTCAGTGCTGGTCAAATCATCGGACGATATTGCATATAATGAGGGCAATTTACACGCACGGGTAATTAACTTGTAGTTATATAGCAGACTAGTGTAAACAGGTTTTTTTTAAAAGAATGACCAGTGCTTATCGACGCATTTTCACGGAGTTAAAAAAAAAAAGACATGAGTTCTCAGAAAAAAATTCTTCACATGTTGATTTATTTTTAAGAAAAATATTTTTGCGAATGCAATGCACGCGCAAATTTGCTAAAAATTTATCTACAATAAAATTTCCAGATTTACGGTATAAGATTTTTTTAAGTGACACAAGCCGTGCAAAGCAATGGACATTTAACTGGCTAATGCAGTCATTTTGCAACAGAAAATGATTAAGCGTGGAATGTAAACACATATTTTCTTCTTTTATCGCACCCCTTAACGATGTAAATTTTTTCAGTCCTCGCACTCATCAATCTAACTACATTCTTACAGAAATGGAAAAAAAAATTTATTGTTTCATATCAAAAAAGAACAAAAGTACATGCAGAATTCCAAAAAAAATTACAGAGGTTGGAACAAAATTCCAAAAAAGAATAATAAATGACTGAAAGGTATACGTATTTTTACATATTTTTTTTTTTCATTTTTAATTTCCTTTTTAGAAAAAGGTAATGATTGTATATTTCCGAGGTCAGAAATCAGTAGTGGTTTCTAAACAATATATGTCTTCGTCTTATTGTACGAACACCTGTAGAAATATTCTTTTCTTTATACTAAAACAAATCTTATTATAAGCATCTTTTTGGAAAGACACTTAAAAATCTTACTCTGACATTCCTTTTTTTTTTTAAAAGGAAAGTATGACCAGTCTATACCATTGCATCCAGGGCAAAATAGAACTAAAAACAAACGAAACAACAAAAGAAAGGTGTTACCTAAACATGAGGTGAAGTAAATTGAAAAAAAAGAAAGGAAAAGTTGCGCAACAACACAAAGACAAAAAGGGAAATGTTCATTTAACAAAACTAAAAACAAAGCAAGATGTGTCTGTGTACTACTGATGCTATCGCATGGCAGCTTATTGCGAGGACTGATTTCTCTCAAGTGCATATTACAGGTCAAGGTGAAAAGTATTGGTATCCAAAGGAAGGTCTAGTTATAAGGAATATACCTGTGAAATATAAAGCCTTATTTCTTACTTTATAAAGGATATGACAAAGGTCAAAGTTTAAAAAGTACGTAAAACCATTAGGTTGACACATGTTAAGGATGTCTGGATGAAAGCCCTAGCTCCCATTGTTCAAAAGTTATGGCCAAGTTTAAAGTGTGGTATTTTTTGTAAAAGTGGGTCAAATTCCAAGGTTAATTCAAAGAGGTTAAATTGTGGTGGTAACCATGGAGAGATCTTTTCACAAGAAACACATTTGTGAAATAGAAGCCATAGCTCAACTCATTCAATAGTTTTGGGCTAGGTTAAAGATGAAAACAGACAGACAGAAAGGCAAATAAACAGACAAAAAGACAAACAAAAAGAAGACAAACAGTAAGACAGAACAAAGACCAATAAAAGTACTTACTATGTTAAGAAATACAAAGCTCACAATGATTATGGGAAAGTTTAGTGAAATCTTCCAAAACTGTAAACCGTTCTTAAACATAAATGCTCTCTTCATGGTTGTCAGAATAAATCTGTTGGGAAAAAAACGATACATACTACTAAGGACAAATGATTCAATTCAATTCAATTATCATAGAAAAAAGGATCAGTTGACAATAACTATAGTCTTGGGCCACTTTTCTACGTTGAATCTAAATATATATACAGTCATTCTGGTTATTTTAAAACAAGATTGAACGAAAATTACAGCTTCTGAATGGTGTCGATAGTTCGCATTGTTAATAATAAATCAAATATGATGAATAATGCATGACTAAGGAATCTACCTTATATGGTTATTGATTTTATGTCGCACACAGAAAGCAATTGTCCAATCCGATTTTAAATGACAAAATATGCTCTTTTACGGGATGTTTAATTTAATTTATCACAGAAAAGCGGTCTTAGGTCAATCAACAGTTAATTCCTAGTACCCTTTATGTTAAAGCGCCAAAATGGCTGCAAATCGTATGTTTTTTTTTCATTCAAATTCCCCAATATATCATTCAGGAATAAGGTAAAAAGTTGAAGTAAGCATTTTGAAAAAAATAAATATTCTTTTCTCGTATAATCTACGAGGAATCTACCGGAAAATCAAGGGTCGTACAACTTAGATGTGTTTACTTGTATCAAGTGAATTCTAAAATGACACGTGCAAACAAAGAAGAGTTACAATTATAATTAATGGAATATTTTAGGTAAAAGCAATTCTCATAATGAAAATATCTTAACTCTCCGGTAAATTAATAATAGTTAACATTTTAGTCTGCATTCAGATGTATTTAACATGATTAAGTACAAATGTTGACGTTTTTTGCATTGGGGTGCAAGAAAGGAAAATCCACTTAATCATACGTGGGTGCAGGAAAGGAAAATCCACTAAATCATACGTCATAGCGGCAAAATGTCAAACAAAATATCTTTCTGCAGTTCTAATACAAACTGCACTTCAAATGGCAATAATGTTTATGTCATAAGTGCATTTTTATGCTGAGTTTTTTTCTTTGAAAGTCATATGATAGCATAACAAACCTGTATGACAGAACCTTTGCGAGCCCAACGTTAATGTCGCCGAGATCCTGTTTCTTCTTAATCCAATGATTATATTAATCTCCCAACTAAATTTTTGTCAGGAAAATTGCTCTTCAATTTCAAGCCATATTTTTTGTTTTGTTTCTTAATTTGGTCGACTTTATCAGATTGACTTATAATTATGTCCTCCTCTCAAATTCACTCCTTTCTTTTATACGAAACACAACTAGTGTTAGGTATTTTGTTTACTACATTAAAAAAATATCAATTTTTCCAAAGGTAAACTGTCTATTCTTTATTTTCCTAACAAAAGTGTATCCTTTCGAAACTGAAACCGGTCGATACCTGCACAAAACAGTATGTGCAGTCAAATATTTTTATTCATATATATACTTAGAGCTCAATCTAAGTATCTTATGGCATCGTCAAGGTTAAACAATATGTTTCTCAAAATATAATTTTAAACTACAGATGTTTCCACTATCTATATTTTATAAAATTTGAAGTTACCTTTGAATGTTGTGATTGCTGTTGGGGATCCAAAAGATTCCACCAATCAATATATTGACTAAATTGTACTGCATTGCACTGCTGCAGCCTTCAAACATTCGAGTTAGTGATTATTGATCCCTCACTATCAATATAATTTTCATCTTCTCATTCTACTTTTTTGTAGAAGATAGTTTAAAATTATTATTGTACATGTACATGTAGAAGATTTTCGTATGATATAGACATTTTAAGATTATAAGATTAAGATCTTCCAAATCAAGTCAGTTAATCGTAGCTATTTTAAGCTAGTTTATTTTAGGTATTATCAACCCTTGACTTGAAGTTTAATTTTTAAGGCGTAAGGACTACGTGTAGCTCATAACGACATAGCCACTTTCTTGAGTTATTTCAAAAATGACTGTCATTGGATAATTTGTATTGCGAGGGAAATCCATTATATGAGATTTTATTTCAAGTTTCCTTCTATCTTTGATGTCTCTGACATTCTTAACAAATTAGAAAGTGATCCCTTATATTTATATTAAGTTGTGAAATAAATATTTTGCTATAAATTGAGAACCTTTACACTAGTCGTTTAAACCTTACAGACTGCTGTTCAATACCAAATTATGGTGTAAAATAATCAACAAGTTAAGAAAAATGGAATGAGATGTTAATTTAAAAAAAATTCAAGTTTATAATATACGTTAAAGATAAATATATTTCAGTCTTTATTATATTATCTTTCAATATTTTTGGACGTGGCTAGGAAATGGGAATATACAAATATGGTCATATATTTCCTAAAAAAAACATCCTGTTGAAAAACCGTCCTCCATTTTAATATCATTTCAACTTTTAATAATAAACAGACCTTACTTATGCTGATTACTCTACTTCCGCATAATATAAATACATGATAATTTTAAATACGGTATAGTTTCAGCGTGATCTACTCAGTGTTGCTTTGAGACTTAAATGATATATATGGTATTTGCAATATATTTGTTGTTCATTCAGAATATATTTGGACAACGTTGTTCTGGGTAAGTTGGGAAAATCGAAAAATGTATTTTGTTTTTTTTTTAATATGTAGTAGCAAAGTTTTATAAGACTGCTTCTTTTAGTATTTCAAAAATATCAGACATTACATTTTTTGTACATATACATGTATTACCGGATAAGTGTGGGTATTACGGGATCTATTCTGTCCGTCAAATACTCATTCTGAGCTAAACGTGCGGTTTCCTCTCATTGTTGCAACCAGAACCACAACAACCTCAAGACACAATCATTGTACTTTTATTATTAATAATAATAAAAGACAGTTTTACATGAATCTGAGATAAATCAGCACTAAAAGTCAAATTCTTGCTGACTATGACTTTTAATAATAAAACATACACACTGAATAAAGAAAAACAAAACTGCATCTACTGTGAGCACTGAGTTCTATAAATGATACCCCGCCATCCATATAATTATTAGGGCAAATTCCATGCGATTCTTTGCTCTGGACGACCCGAAACGAAAATCATTTCAAAAAGTAGGAAGTTATAATGGTATTATGTAATCATAATTCTATTCAAACATTATCAAAATTTATTATATGGAATAGCAGATAAAACAATTGTTATCATTCTACAAGATAGATTGGATGGCAATATCAATTTCATATTATGGGAAATACAAAATATGTGTCTATTTAAAAAGTAAAATAAGAGGTTCACAATGGCAATAATAATATGTAAAAGTCTCAATCAATTTCATTGAGTTGTATAAGAGAAGCTGCGGATAAGAGATGGTAAGCCAAAACAGATAGAAGGAGAATATTAGAAGTAGGATATTAGAAATAAGAATTATTAGAAATCTGGGCATTTGCGGCTAGGTTGGCCGTCCGTTGAATAGAAATAGGTACATGTATCTACGATGCTAGGTAAGCCGCTACAATTTTAAACGCAGACATTTACGATACAGCATGACAAGCTCATTTCATTTCAAACGTATATTTGTAGACCATTAAAATGCTGTAGAGGTTTCAAATGGGACAAACAAAGAGCTGAATGTATACGTATGTGATATTACTAGCTTCTATTTTGTACAAAGCTATGATGCATGTAAGGCTAATTTTCAAAATTATTTAATAGATTTAAATATATACAATCAAAGCTGAATTTTTTGTCTACATTGACAAATCACAATTGCATTCTATAATCTTTATTTAAATCAATAGCATGATTAAGTGTAAAATTTTAAGTTGTACTACACGTTTATTTCAGGTTTCTTTTTCAATTGCTTTTTTTCTTTTTCATTTTTCACATTTATCTTTTCATTTACATTTAGCCTGTAAATACCCATATTATGGAAGAGGCTGTCGTTTTAACTGTAATTGCTTTGAATCTGTATGGAACCAGTTTGAAGGAAATGTGTCATATACATCTTCTATTGGTAAGCTATAGTAATATTTTGAATTAAACGCATAAAGATTGATTTCATTGAACAAAATTAAAAACTAAAATATGTTAATATACCTCACAGGCACACAGGTTATATATACAAGGGATTTCCCAAATGTACGTAGACTGAAATATCTATTACAAAATTTAACGCACCTTTATATAAAAAAAACATCGATATATACAGAGAGTTTTTTTTTTTTTTTGGGGGGGGGGGGGGGGTTAAAATTAAATTGTCTACATTATCATAATGTTTAAATTAGATAAATTAATAAAGTACAAATATGAAATTTCATAATTGCTGTACTATGTTAATTATCAACATTACATTATACTACTTATGTTTAATTACCTGCATCCGTTAATTGTTCATAAAAATATTCCGTATTTCTGGGATTTTTGTCGAGCTCACGAATAGAGATATACTAGTACGTACTTTGACATTGATGAATCTGTCTTTTAGTTTCGGCTGCTTTCCCTCCTTGCTTTCTTTAAAAAAAAAATCATCTTGAAAATCAAGTTGTGTCATTCAAACACTACGAACTACATGTACGTACCTACTAGTATATCTGTTTTTGAGTTCCATACATCTGTACATTTGTGTCTTCGAATGCGTCTCTCTTTCGGTGAATTCAAATTCTGAACTGCAACTTTTCTTAATTTACGAATGCGCCGTCTATGTCAATGTGGTGTCATATTTTTTATGTAAAACAAGTGTAAATTAGATTATGAAATTCCTATTGATGAAGGAAATTGCTATACAATTGGATTTGTTATTGTTGTTTAACCTTCATTTCAAGAATTTTCACTCATATAGAGACTTGACCTATGAAGGGATTCATAATTTGATCTTTAATCGGCACTAAGGGTAATTCAGCAGTGAGGGATCTTAATTATGCCATTATCTTCCGTGACCGTGGCTTTTGGACGTCACATTCAAAGAACCCGCAAATTTTGCTTTAAGTAGTAAAAGAACTGCTGCTAACCCTTTTTTGTACTAAGGTCAGTCGCGGCCGAAAATGGAGCTCATGGCCTCCCTATTGTCATA